GGGGGGGGGGGGCAGTGGGGAAACGCAGCAGGGCAGCGGGCATCAGGCACGACATGCCCGGATGCGCAGCACCAACACCCACGGGGGCATCACCCCACCGCCGCATCACCCCCGCCCAAACCCGAGGGGGGTATCCGGAGTCTCATCTGCGCAGGCCTCGCCGATGAGCCACTCTCACACAGACACCCACATTCACCAGACAGACTGACCTGGGACCTGCACCCTCTGTGCCCTGCCCCAGTGCCCACCCCCCAGAGGCCAGCATGCCCAGGGGCTCCCAGAGCGACACCCTAGACAGTCCCACATGGGAAGGGGTGCCCAGGAGGACACAGGCCCCCCCGGCACAGACGAGGCCCCCACCCCAGCAGCGGGCCACCCGGAACCCCACCCTGCACCTGCGAGGCCCTGGCCACCCGCCCCCATGCCCACCAGGTAGACGACCGCAGCCCCCCCACCCCGCCAACCCAGGACCGACCCACAACCCCCAGCTTAGGAACCTCATTGAGAACAAATAGTTAATTTTGGGTAGAACCATCATTTTAATAGTGGCCACCCTCCCCATGAGTGATATGGGCTGGGTTTTCCACCGTATAAGATCATCTTCTATTGTTTTAAGAAGTGGAGTATAGTTTAATTTTTGCAGGTCTGACAGCCTGGGGGAAATATTTATACCTAAATATTTGATATTTCCTGACTGTAATGTAGTAGTGGGTGCATTTTGAAAATCGCAGTTTATAGGCAGAACTGTGGATTTTGACCAGTTGATGGAATACTCAGAAATTGATGAACATCTTTCTATGACTGAAATTGTATGAGATAGGGAGGATTGAGAGTTAAGGAAGATTAATACATCATCTGCATAAAGACTGATCTTATGAAGCTCATTTTTCATTTCAATACCTTTAATATCTCTGTTTTGTCTGATTTTCTAGTTTAGCTTGATGGCCCGAATGGCCTCCTCTCGTTTGTAAATTTATTATGTTCTTATTTTCTTATAGCAGCTGCTAGAGGTTCAATAAAAATAGCAAAGAGAGAGGGGGAGAGTGGGCAGCCTTGTCTAGTACCCCTCTGGAGAAGAAAGCTTGGTGAAGTTTGGTCGTTTGTCCTGACTGATGCATTAGGAGAGCTGTATAGAATTTTAATCCAGTTAATGAAAGATGATCCAAACCCAAATTTATTTAGTGTTGCTAAAAGAAATTTCCAATTTACCCTGTCGAACGCCTTTTCTGCGTCTAAAGAGATAATTGTAGTTTCTAGTTTAGTGATGGTAAAGTAGGCTATACATGAATATACCCTCTTCTACACTAGTTTATGCATACTATGACAAATGCAGATCCTGTGAATAGCTAAAATAAAATAGAATAATTGTACCTTAAAACAGCAAAAGTTCATATTGTTTTAATACAATAACTCTAAACACACAAAATGAGTAGCTGCTTCCAAAAATATAACCATAAGCTTACAGATTGTAAAACTTTTTTCTCTTTGAACTATATAATTTTGCACACAATTATCCAAAGCAATGAATGATTTCTACCAGTTTACCCACACTTCCGAAATTAAGCTGTTTCATTAACATGCACGAAATATAATAGATTATTATTAACAATTCATTCCCTAACATTGATAAATGTATCAATTTAAATGAAAAGTTGCATAGTATATATTACATTAAGTAATGGAAAAACAGAATTATAAAAGTAATTTTCTCTGAGTATGGTTTGACCCACTTGTTTCATTTCACATGCTTCGAGTGAACTGTCAGGCTTAAAAACCAATGGAAAAGGCATTCCTGAACAGCTAATATGTAGAAAGTATCATTGTATCATTCTTTGTTGCTAAGTAAGAAGTGACAAATTAACAGATAAAACATCACAGGCTCTATTCTATTGCTACATGACAGAATTAGTTTAATGGCAGATATTAGATTGCAGAAATCATGCAAATATTTTTTTCAGACTGAACATATTGATTAAAAAGTATTTAAAATTGATTTAAAGTAAAATGTGAAAATTGTCTTTTGCAAGGTATCAGCTTCTACGATAACAGCATAAGCTGAATGAAAATTCCTCCAAAGGAATTTGTAAAGTACACACTGGCTACGATACCTTGACTGCGCCATAGCAGAGGGTGAATATCAGCAGAGCACAGAGGAGAAGTCCAGCTCTTATAATGGAGAGACAGATAAGCACCATCATCTCTGAAGAACAATGGAATCCTGGAGAAAAAAAAAGCCTAATGTAACTGGCATGATAAAACTGAGATGATGTCACACTGCAACGATAATAATGGATTTACACTCTCATTTCTGACTGCTGGATCTTTTTGCATTTGGATTTTTAAATGATTTCATTGACTCTTTTTAATGCTTACCATCTATATCCAGCTGTGTGCCGTTCCCAAACAGCACCTCCCCACACATGGCCACAGCGCAGTAGTAAGTCCCAGCATCAGAGAGGCTGAGGTTCCTCTTGGGGAGGCTGTAGACACAGCTCCGTGTAGGAGATCCAGCCTCAGGGCTCTTCTCACACTCATCACTCCTGTTTCCGTGGCTGTAAATGACTCCTGGAAGGGATTCTCCTGATCCATGTCTGAACCAGTAAACACTGTGTTCTCCTGCACAGCTCCCAGTCTCTATTGTACACTGCAGGCTCACAGAGTCTCCTGGCTGCACTGTGTCAGACACAGGCTGCTGTACCACAGTCCTGCTGTTGGAGTCTTTACCTGAAAAGCAAAATGTGGATGATGACAGGTTTTTGAGAGAAAGGATGGAAAATACAGATCCTCAAAGATTATTGTTATTGATTTTGTTGAGGTAGTCATCCAACAAATCACCAATTTCTTAGAGAAAAAAAATAATTCTTGTCTTTTTTTCTAATTGTATTACCCTTTATTAATATATATTCTTATCAGGATCATGCAAAATTCAGAATTTATGAACTGTGCCCCATTCCATTCATGAATTGGAATATGAATTGTAAGAAGAACAATTTAATCGTTTCCACTTCAAAAAATTAATTGTCTAAAGTGTAGATTATATTTGCATAATTTTCATGATTCTATCAATATCCATTTGGTTTATGTTGCCCCTTTTCCACAGGAAGGTATTTATTGTTTTTGCATATTTAGCTGTTGATGTGTGTTAGTATTTTTGAGGATTCTGCTCTAGTACCTGCATGGTTTGATTCAAGAGCCAAATGTATTATCTTTGCTTGTTACTGTTTCCTGATTAATAGTTTGTCTCTTTTTTTAACATTAAATAAAAAGTATACATAGCAAAAGGAATTACTTGGTTTCATGTAGTTCCTCCTATTTATTTTCTATGCGTAGAAAAGTACGTTTTTCTGTTCAACCATAGCATTACAGCAAAAAGTCATGGTTTATTCCAATACATATGCCTGATTTTTCATTATTATTTTATTTAGTCAGCATAATATCTGCAAAGGATTTACAATTTAATTTTCAATGTTCTGGCCTGAAATCTTTTCCTGCTACACTGAAGACTCTCTCAGCATGTGCAGAGGAAGCTGCAGCCAAAGGGTTGGCATCCTCTGATAAACATGGTTGGCTCAGGTAACACTGACATTATGTGAAGCTTTCATGACAGGAATAGGGACCAGTTTGACTTTTGAAGCAGTAAAAGAGTTTGGGACGTTTCTTAGGTTAGAAACTGCAGTCACTGCAGCCAACACTAACGTTTGAGGAGAGACACTCAGCTTTTCCTATGAGCAGATCCACCATGGTACACAAAATGACAGTTTAATTATTATTTTAGGTGACACTTCAAATGTTGCATTCTTTCATCCTGAACAAGATGATATTTTTATAACAATGATACATAACAATGTTAATGTGCTTATGTGTAATTCATATTTAAATAATAGACTGTATAGTTAAAAGCTACACCTACTGTACAGAACATTTATGAACTTATTTGAATCCAAATCCTTTTTCATTCTGCTTCCTTAAATTCAAATATTAATTGCAATGCCACATGCTGTTTTCAACCACAATTCAAATTTAATTGAGATTAACAAAATAAACTGAAATTTAAGGGCCATTCTCGAATATGATCTGAATGGTGCACAGTCCTGATTCCTGTGTTAAATCATGTTCTTTTCTGAGCGAATATACACTGTCTGCTCAGACAAATAATGTCAAAAATAATTTTCTGTTGTTGCTGAAGACTTTTGCACAGTCCTATATATAGCAACTCAAACATTTTTTATTACATCTTTTTTAAAGAGGCTGCAATGTGTAACATTAACATCTGTATAAAGAGAAGGTTAGGCTTTTGGCTGAAGATGTAACAAATTGCATAATAATAATAATAATAATAATAATAATAATAATAATAATAATAAATGATTTTTGTTTAATGTTGTTTAGAAAAACATTAATGGAGCAAAGCAGACAATCAGGTATCTTTGCTAATTTTATATTGACACAAAACTCAACTCTAAAAAATATTTTACAGGGAATAATCTTACTGACAGTATAATAAAGCAAATATGAAAATAGCTGGAATCTCATTTACCTGTGATTATGACAAAGGTTCCATTCCCAAAGGTGACCTCATGAAGAAACACAGCAGCACAATAATACACTGCAGAATCTGACGGCTCCGCGTTAGAAATAGTGACGTTAAAACTCCCCTTTGCATTCTGTAAGGAGTAACGTTTTATATTTTCATATTCCTCATCAAATTTACCAGATACGTAGCGAAGTGCTTTCGCCATGAGCTGGGGCTTCTGACCAACAGCTTGCTTAAACCAAGCAACAAAAGTTGTTTCTTCTGGACAGAAGCATGTCAGGGTCACACTGTCTCCAAGCTGAACCCTCATCAGGAGACTGGGCTGAACAACATCCACAGCCAGTGCAGTGTCTGAAAAACAGAAAAACACAAATGAACGTGACATACATCATAATAGTAAGCAAAATAACTATTAACTACTGTATGATGAAGATTAAATGGCCAAATACAAATTCCACTGATGACATCACACAAATATATGAAAATATTAAAATCAAAAAAATAATTTATGATTTATATTTTAGGACCCTACTAATGAAAATGAGAAGACCAAAGAGTCTGAACATCTTTGTGGTTCCACTTGTTTAGAATAAACTGCTCTGCTGCTACAGTAAGTGAGAGGTCATGGTCGTGGTCGGGATGAAAGGGCAGGAAACAGAGAGGTACAAGATACACATCAGGCTGATCTGATTGGCTGTTCACACAGGAATTTAAATAATAGTGAAAAGGCATTCTAACCTACACTTACATGATGTTTATTAATTTACTCCTTAACTGCCAGTTAAAATGAGAACAATTGTGTAGGGACAGAACAGAACCAGAGGAAGGAAAAATAAAACAAAATCAGAATAAGGCACAAGGAACTGGAACCAGAACCGCTCCACCTCTCAGACGAAGAATATCTCACACCGGTAAATGTTCCCCGAAGCTAAAACTGGGAGAAGCAATTAACTGCATGGGCAACAGCTGCGAAGAGGCGAGACCGAAAATGGAAAACACCGGTGAACTAATAATGAGGACCGAACCAGACTGGCTGGGATTTACAGGCGGGGATTCCCTGGAAGGCGTGGCTAATGTGACGCAGATTTTTAACTCAGAACTGGGGCAGGTGTGGGTTGTTACAGACAAGAGACTAGGGGCAATAATTAGTAGGTGAGGTCAAGTAATAGATACAGAAGCTTCAAACACTAAGGGAAAGTAAAACAAGGAACACTGAACATACTACAAATGGATGTACACAAACACATTATAAAAACCACAAAATAAATGTTAAATTACAGCTAGTTCAAGCTGGTTTCTGGTCAGCTACAAATTCACAATAAAAGGGGAGTCTGCATGATGGCTGACCGCCGAGCCCGTTAAGTCACACAGCAGCCAGGGGAACAGGAAACACTGGGAGTGAAGGACATGGGATGGCAAGCGACACCTGCTGGTCAAATAGGGAACAGACATACCGAAGGGACAGGACAAGCACTGATCCTGACAATTACATGAAATAAATGGTTTACTTAAAAGTAGTGGTTGTTTCTAATGTGATATATGCCATAAACCGCCGGGACAAAGGAGGTGGGCTATTGTTTTGGCGTATTGGTATAGTTTCTTATGAAATTATGTGTGAAGTTTAACCTACGAGCTATTTGCTATCTCCCATACTTATTTTGATTACTAACATGTCTAGTGAGAATAGGGAACTTTTTCATAATAAAAAGGATTACTTTTCTATTAATGTCCAATATGTGTGCGAAAAGTATATCAGCATAGGCTATGGACAAAGCAGGGAAGGATTTTAGTCAGATAATGCTGATTCAAGACGAGCGAGGTGTGGTCTTTAGTGAGTATCAGTGACACAATTTACACAAAGTGCTACAGGGCTGACATCATTGTGTAACTTTTGTTAATGCAAGTAGATTCACCAGATTTGTGCCTGTGCTTACATGTCACCAATGTGTTGGACTAGGGCTAAGTGATATGATAAAATTTCTCCAAGTTGAATATAGCCGGTGGGGGGGGAGTAATGTGCCTGCCAACTGGCCTGCACACTACTTCCTTCCCTTTCCCTTTCCTTGTGCAGTTCTTGTACCACCTCAAACTTGTTCTTCACCTGAAGTCCAAACTCTTCCCTGACACTGGAGATCTTTAGACGGCTGACATCTTACTTCACTCTACACTGTGTTGTTTCTTTCCAGTTATTCTTCAACTTCAGCTGCATGCTAGCTACTACTAGGTGGTGGTCGGAAGCCACATCTGCTCCTCTTCTAACTCTAACGTCCTGAAGGGATCTTCTAAACTTCTTGCTAATGCAGATGTGGTCAATCTGGTTCTCTGTCAAGCTGTCCGGTGATACCCAGGTGTTTTTGTGGATCCGCTTGTGAGGAAAGATGCTGCCTCCGATGACCAGTTTGTTGAGTGCACACAGTTCCGTAAATCTCTCTCCATTATCGTTCATCACTCCCAGCCCGTGTATCCCCATGACTTGTTCATATCCTGTGTTGTCGGGTCCAATCTTGGCGTTGAAGTCTCCGATAAGGATGACGATGTCTCTGGCTCGAAATGTCTCTACGATTTTCTGCAGTCTGCTGTAGAACTGGTCCTTGTCTTCTTCATCAGAGTCGTTGGTTGGAGCGTAACTCTGGATGACGTTGAGTTTTATCTTCTTGTGTTTGGTTCTGAAGGATGCTGTGATGATTCTGGGGCCGTGCACCTCCCATCCAATCAGTGCCCTCTGTGCTTGTTTGGACAACATGAAGCCTACTCCCTGCGTATGGGATGCGTTACTCTCTTCATGCACGGAGTACAGTAACAGCTCTCCTGTCGTCAGTTTTCTCTGTTCGACTTGTGTCCATCTGGTTTCACTGATGCCCAGAATGGTCAGGTTGTTCTTTTTCATGGCGGCAGCTACCTGTGCTGTCTTGAAGGTCTCGTACATGGTCCTGACATTCCATGTGCCGATGAGGGTTCTCCTGGTCGAAAGAAGGGTGGTCGGCTCGGTGGCTTCCTTTAGGCTTTCACCATGTAGCATCATGCGTCTCCTAGTTGTTGGAGATCCTTTATCTTCCAGGAAGTTAGTCTCTGTTTCTCTTTTTGGCGTTTCTGTAGTGGTTGAGGTTTTACGAGCTGGGGTTGCTAGCCCCACGCCCAACCCTCCTCCTTTTTCATCCGGGCTTGGGACCGGCAATGGCGGACTGAAAATGAAAGCAGCTATAAATCTTCATCTACATAATGTTTCTGCCCTTTTCTTTGCTATTAATATATGGTGCTGCTTCAATTTTGGGGCAATATGTTTCAAAATTGAATCAGTTTTAGTTTGTATGCACAATGCTTTTCTAAAATTAGAAAAAGATCCATCAACCGTTTTCAAGTTGATGTCTTAACAAGCAAAGCATCTCCTGTGGCAGTGGGAATACCATATGTAATACACTATATAGAGATTAACATGTACTGTATGTCAAACAAAGTATTTAATGGTACAACAATGATGTCTTAGACATAAAAGCGAATACCACTGGCACCCCCTAGTGGCAAATTGAAGATAGTTCTGTCTGAAGCAGCTCAGCAGGAGACTTGGTGTCAGCTGCTGTTACAAACTTGGTCCTGCTTGGTTTGAAGGCTAAAGGCATAAAAAATTAAGGGGACATATACTGCACGACCCCCACCCTTGATGATGGTACAAATTATCATGAAACCACCTGGCTGGCCCCAGCAGTACCCCTAAGAAGAAGACAGGACAACTATTAGTCGTGTACTCCACGAATCTGGCCTTGGAAGAGTGGCAAGAAGAAAGCCATGGATGAAAGAAAGCCATAAGAAGTCCCGTTTCCAGTTTGCTACAAGCCATGTATGGGACACAGCAAACATGTGGAAGAAGGTGCTCTGGTCAGATAAGGCCAAAGTTGTAGTTTTTCGCCTAAATGCAAAACATTATGTGTGGCGGAAAACTAACACTGCACATCACCCTGAACACACCATCCCACCGTGAAAGATGGTGATGGCAGCATCATGCTATGGGGATGCTTTTCTTCAGCAGGGACAGGGAAGCTGGTCAGAGTTGATGGGAAGATGGATGGAGCTAAATACAGGGCAATCCTGGAAGAAAACCTGTTAGAGGCTGCAAAAGACTTGAGACTGCGGTGGAGGTTCAGCAGGTCAATGACCCTAAACATACAGCCACAGCTACAATGGAATAGTTTAGATCAAAACATATTTGTGTGTTAGAATGGCCCAGTCAAGTCCAGACCTAAGTCCCATTGGGAATCTGTGGCAAAACTTGCTGTTCACAGACACTCTCCATCCAATCTGACTCAGCTTGAGCTATTTTGCAAAGAAAAATGGGCAAAAATTGCAGAGACATACCCCAAAAGACTAGCAGCTGTAATTGCAGTGAAAGGTGGTTCTACTAAGTATTGACTCAGGGCGGCTGAATACAAATGCAAACCATACTTTTCAGATTTTTATTTGTAAAAAAATTTGAAAATCATGTATCATTGTCTTTCCACTTCACAATTGTGCACTACTACTGGTCTGTCACATAAAGTCCCAATAAAATACATTTAAGTTTGTGGTTGTAACATGACAAAATGTGGAAAAGTTCAAGAGGTACAGTATGAATACTTTTTCAAGGCACTGTAGATTATTCTGTGTGAGCCTCATTAAACAGTCTGGTTTGTAGAACGTGGTTTTGAAAATCCCACGCATCATTAATGTAGTGTGCAGTGATCGTGACATATGAATCAGTGGCACAAGACGTCCAGCCATCAGGTGTTACTGCAGCTCTTTAGGCAAAGACTCGGCTATCTGTGTCTCACTTTGTCATACAGAACAGGGATTCATTTCTCGGTGATCAGCTTCCTATTTGCAGAGGTGGAGCTTTCAGGTCCAGAGAGTACAAATCCAGACCAACATTTTATTTCAACCAACCAGTTGAGTACTCTATGACAGCAACTGTTTATACTCAACTGGATTTGTACTCTCCGGAAATGAAATCTCCACCTCTGCCTATTTGGTATGTGATACCTTACTCCTCCATGATTTGGAAGAAGTATTGAAAGTCCTCATTCTCTATAACACTATAAGGCTGGATATCTTTACAAATAAAGACAGCAATGGCATTGGTTATTTCCTTAGAACGTGCAGAGCTGTTAGCCACCAGGGTGAGAAAAAAGTCTTCTTGTTAGGGATACCGCTACACTGCTTCACTGAGTGCTTAAGTATGTCGTTGCCTGTGTACTTTATAGCGTAGTACAGTGATTCCCCCGCCTATCGCGGAAATTACGTTCCAGACCCATCAGCAATAAGTGAAAATCCGCGATATAGAAAGACCATATAAATAATAATATTTTTTTAAATATAGTTTGAGCTTTGGGGGCAGGGGGGGGGGGGAGGTCGTGCAGTAGATGTCCCCTTTATTATTTGTACCTCTGGCCTTCAAACCGAGCAGGGCTAAGTTTATAGCAGCAGTTGACGCCAAGTCTCCGGCTGAGCTGCTTCAGACAGAACCGTCCTCAATTCGCCACTAGGGGGTGCCAACGCTCCGGCTTCGTTCTATGGTTGATCCTTTTCAAAAACAGTTTTTTCCTCATAATCTTAACAAATGACAATTTAACTGAAT